CCGCAAGCTCGTCGATGGCCTACCTGCTTATGCACGCTGCCTGTCGTGTTCCCGCGCAGACTTGTACGTGCTTGCGCGCTCGCGCAATCTCGTGTGGTCGTGCACGGCCTGCTCACACGCTATTTCGTGCGGCAACGATAGGTTAAGTGGTTCTTTCTGGCCTGCTTAGACCTTCGCGCTGCTTCCCACGTACGTGCACGTCGCGCTCGATCATGTGTGTATGCAGTTGCAAAACCCTGATTCTCATCGAGCCGTCGAGCCTACCTAGGAGCCACTAGACCGATTTTTTCAGTCGATTCGTGCAAATCACAGAAGGTCGAACTACACGTAACACCTAGATGGCCGCCTAAGCCGATTTTTAGAACAATGCTTAACAGTCACCACATGAGATAAACTATGAATATTACTATATTCTATGATGATTTTTTTAAAAAATGAGGTGACCTTCGAAGTTACCACACATCAACCTTTGGGTCACTATTATCCAATTTCATTCGAGTTTGACCAACCCTCATAAAAACATCTAATCCCCTCCCCATACAATGAAATTTGTTGTCCCCATCGACAAAGGACCACAACGTACGCCTAAGCTTGTATTAGCCCATCCCCCAACGGGCAACACTAATGATTTTAGTCACTTGCGCACTCATAAAATAGACGAAAAAAATAGCCCACCTTTGTAAAATGGACGGGAAAGTACAAGAATAGTCTACAGTCGCTGCACTGCAAGAGCAGAGCACAGCAGCAAGTAAATCAAGATGGGCACGGCAAGCCAGTGTGAAAGTAAGAAAAAGTGAACAAGAAACCATTTTTATTTTTCCCATCTATAGTTGTTTAATAGAAAGAGAGAGTGATTGGAAATGAATAAAGTAGAGAGAAGTAGGGAAGTGCCAGCAGAAAAGCGAGCGAATTTAGGGGAAAAGTTGAGGCGGGTGGGGAAAAGGGGCGGACAGCAAACCCCAGTGGCCTCTTTTTGGAGACCGCTAGAGTTGGAGCTTTTGGCGTCGGCTGACAAATTTCAACAAGATTGTGGCACCAAAAGAGATTATTACACTAAGGACTCCCCTTTTCAGGCTCCCCCTGTTTCTGCAAGAAAACTTGCCGCCGCACTCTGGGAGCTCCATCATTACAAGAGGTTTCTTGCTAAAATGCACCACGGCGGGGGTGGGCGGGTCCGCCGCCTCAACTACCACCAGCAGCCGGATTGTCAGGACAAGGGCGGCGTTGATCGGCCGCTCGATCCTTCGCCTAGTTCGCCGGACCTGGTATAAGGGATTCTTCAGGCTCTTTATTTTCTAAAAAAAAAAAATTATTATTTTTTTTATGTTGAGGAAATCTTGATTGAACTTATTTAATTGGTTAGTTGTTTAATAATTGTTGTTAATGAGCGTGCTTTTGGTCAAAGTTTTGATTTTTATGGTGAGGGGTTGGTTTAAAATGAAAGCTTGATGGCTCCATGTGGAGTGGTTTGTCAGGATTTTGGTGGTGCCAGTTTGTTGGTTTTGTTATTTTGGTCAGGCAATAAAGATGGGAACTTTATCACTCTTGCATAAAGGCATATAATCTAACAGAGTACAAAGGATTTATGTCTACTTATTTGATCTGATTGGTTTTGCCCTCAGCATTCATTAGCTATTTATATTTAGCTGTACAATGTATGGGTTATGTTGAAGCTATTAATTTGGGGTGTTCTGATATCATGTTACGTTTGTGTAAAAGAAAACAAAACATTTGACCTTTAATTATCATGTGTTTCCACATTCCTTTGTCCCTAACTAATAAGGAGCTTTGCTGCAATAATCCAACCAGTATCCATTTTCTTGATTTAGTTTTAGTGTTACCTATTTCTGTACAATAATAGGTAATGACTCACGTCACGGCACACACGGGACGCGGTAGGAAATATCCCCTTTTTGTGCAGATGCTTTTAGATTACATGATGGTCTTACATTGTATTTTTATTTTTCCATTAAGGTCACAGGCTGCAAAGCCAATGTTATTGTCCCTTCTTCGTTTTTGCTCACTTCTTTTCCATGATTTATAAAAGCAGCCTGGAAGTTCTAGCAGTTTGAGGCGGCACGTGGTTGCAACACTAATGCAGCATCATAGGACAGGCGAGAGTGGAATTCATGCTATACAACCTGTGTCACCTGCTAGTTATGGTAGTTCTATGGAGGTAAAGTAAAACCAATTCACCTTACCGATTTTCTTAATTTTATTTGAGGTTTCATGTTTTAATATGTTTTTTTTCCTTACAGATTGCTGCTTATAACCCAGCAGTCACCCCCACAAGCTCAATCGAGCTAAAAGCCCGAACTGGGGACACAAGCTACAGCCTACGAACATCCACCGAGCTTCTCAAAGTGCTAAACCGCATCTGGACACTGGAAGAACAACATGTGTCCAACATATCCCTCGTCAAGGCCCTAAAGAAAGAACTGGTCCACGCCCGATCCCAATTCAAAGCACTCGTTCAGGAACAACAAGCAGATCGGCACGAAATGGACGAGCTCATGAAACAAATCGCACAAGACAAATTGATTCGGAAAAACAAGGAGCAGGAGAGGATCAACATGGCTGTCCAGTCCTTGAGAGATGAATTAGAAGACGAAAAGAAATTGAGAAAAAGATCCGAAACCCTCCACAGAAAGTTAGCCAGAGAGCTTCATGAGGTCAAAATGACTTTGGGCAAAGTGTCTAAAGAGCTTGAGGATGAGAAGAGCACACGTGGGGTGCTGGAAAGCCTCTGTGATGAGTTTGCTTTCGGAATTAGAGATTATGAAAAGGAATTGCATGCGCTTAGGCAGAAAACAGATGGTGATTGGGTGGAAAGAGCGGATCGTGACCAGCTGATTCTGCATGTTTCTGAATCTTGGCTTGACGAGCGCATGCAGGCAGAAATGCAAACAGGCGGTGATTTTAAGTCGGTTGTCGAAAAACTGAGACCCGAAATCGAAACTTTTTTAAATGCAAAGAAAAGAAAAGACGGCGGTACTACTAATCTTATCACAGCTTTAAGAAGAAGCTCTCTTGAGTCGATACCTCTTAATACTATCGTTAGTGCTCCTCGTGAGGATGAGGATGAAGAGAATGGGTCCATGAGTGGTGACTCTAACTGTTTTGAACTCGAGAAAACGAGCGAGCAACAAAATATTCAAGGAAAGAAGAAAATCGGGCTGCCCGAGCAGGCTGGAGGGTCGAGATTTGAAGAGCAGATGGCCCAAGCCATTGAAAATAGCACGGTTGCAGGCCGGGCTGTGGTTTCGGAGAGTGAACGGGCTAGCGGGCCTGAAAAGGGCAAACTGGTTAAGGAAAATAGTGCGGAGAGGACAGGTGGCAGGGTGAAGTCGAACTATGTGATCGAAAACTTGATACGGAACCACTATTTGTTGCCTGATAAGAAGAATGATGGGGAGGTGTGGAGGGGCCAGCCGAGCCCCGTGCGGCAGTGGGGAGAGAAGCTGCCATCTGGTGATGAAGTTGAGAGCAATGGTGTGGGGCTATCTTTGAAGCAGGGGAGTTTGAAGGCGAAGCTATTTGAAGCTCGAGCGAGGGGTCAGCAAAGGTCACGGTCGAGCGCAAAATCGGCTGTTGCTTCTCGAAAATAACGGATTTATTTATTTTCTTTTTTCCTTTCTTGGTCCCTTTTTTGTGTGGTGGTTTTGTGAATATTGAGCACAGGGTTATGGAGTGTATGGTGGATGTTACTATTATTATCGGCTTGTCATGTTTATTGTTTTGACCACATTGTTGATATTTGAGACGGTGTGTTCTGAATATGCATTATGGTTTGTGTTTAAACATATATAATGTAATGTAACACACAAGCAAATTACATAATGCACATCTCTAAAGCTTTACTTAAAGATATAAAACGTTGAAAGTCTAATGGTTTTGTGAAACTATAACGAGCTAATCTAGTATAGGTACATGATGTCAAACTATGATCTCATAATCAACTAAAATTTGGATAAAATGATATAATATCACTATGTGTAGTGCGCGAATGTCGAACGTGATTTTTGGATGAGGTTTGGATATTTTTATTGCACTGGTATTATCACAAAACAACTGTCCAATATGTACCTTCATCGCGTAGTTAAGAAGAACGTGTTTCATCCACACAAGTTGGAAGCAACAATTCTTAGCAACTATGTACTTAGCATCCACAGTCGACAATGAGATGCGATTTTGTTTTTCTACAGAACCAAGAGACAAAATTTGTACTGATGAAGAAACATCATCTGAAAGTACTTTTCTTATCATCAAGATTCTTCGCCCAATCGGCGTCGCAATAACCACCCTAACTTGTGTCAAGACTCGAAATCCCTTATTTTTCAATTGTTTGATTTGATTATTGTTATCTTCGTTGACAAAGTTTGATTGCAAATTATTCATTCTTTCTTGAAAAGAAATAAAATAACTATAAACAAACAAATAAATAGGACTCATTCTTGTTAATAGTTAGTTGCTCTTCAATGTCTCCATGATGAAGTACAACACTTGGTGGCCCCAAAAGATGCGCAAAAGCAATTGACGCGTGATGCACTTTAACTCCGACAATTGTTTCACTCTTTCATGATGCGAATAACGTTTAGTGCTTGAGTTGGAAAACTTTCAAGAAATAACTCATTCATTGCACACAGCAAACTTCAAACTTGATCAATAGAATATGGGAACCAAAATCTCAAATTTTCACACAATACATTTGTTCCTCCTATTCTTGCAACTCTCGTGTCCGATCGAATGCCTCGACCCGAACTTTGACCAATCTCTAGACGCCACTTTTCACGAGCAAGCTTTCAAATCCATGATCAACCATCACCGTCTCACAGGCGCACTTTACAACACCACTCTCCCTAAAGACCTGTCGGGCATGAAAGTCTCGGTCGTGAGGCTCCGAACCCGAACTATGTATAAAAGAGGAGCCACTTTCAGCCACTTTACAATCCCACCCAGAACCCGGCCCGTGGCCTGGGTCAAGAGGGTCCTCATAGTATACCATGACCTTGGCAACTGGTCTTCTTCGTACTATAACATTTCCGGGTATGCTTTTATAAGCCCGGTCATGGGTTTCTTGGTGTATGATGCATCGAATTTTAGCGGTGGGGGTAATTTATCAGCGGTCGGGCTCAACAACACGTGGGGAGAGCCCGTTCGGGTGGAGTTCGAGAACATGACATCTGTTGTGAACCAGACGAGATTTTGTGCTTTTTTCGGTGTGTCCGGGAAAATGGCGCTGACCAGGATGAGTTCGCATGAGGATGTGTGTTATGGAAAGGATGAGGGACATTTCTCGGTGGTTGTGCCTATCGAGAGGCAAGAAGAAAAAAGGGATGGCCCGTTTTGGGTTATGGGGTTGGTGGCCGGGCTCATAGGGCTGGTGGCGGTGGGGCTGGCCGGGACGGTGGCTGTAGGGACATTTGTGAGGAATAGAAATCGGGCGGTGGCTAAAGAGGCGGATGATCAAGGGGAGTGCCTTCAGACTAATTGGATTGGCGATAGCAAAATGGCTCGGGCTAAGGCGACTAGGACTCAGCCTGTGCTTGAGAGCACAACTCCTCCCAGTCCAAGGATGTCCTGGTATGCTAAATGAATTTTTTTTATTTTTTTATTTTCTATGTTATTCAGTTCTAAATTTGAAATTTTGTGGTGGGGTTTTTAGGGTCTTTCTATGGGTATGCAATCTGAGAAAAGGTTTTTTTTTAACATGTTCTGAGTACCAGCTTGTAAAACAGGGTTGTAAAGGGTGTACATTGTTAAATTGTGATTCTCAAGTATGTTTAATTGTTGCCTAGTTTGCCTGATCCATCTCGTGTTACGTTTGTCGTCAAGAAAACAACGTATCTCGGTTAATAAGTGAAATATTATTTTTTGTTAGGATAATCTGTTGATTAAGATCCGTATGGCTGGTTAGTTTGTGTATTTTTTTTTTTCGCAATTCTAGCAGAAATTAATATTATGGAATATAGATTAGACTGTCGTAGACTGATAGTTAGGTGGGTGCAAAAACCAACACCTCAATAACCAAAATTATTAGTCAAATCAAAATTTTTTATGTAAGGCGGCCTAACCGTTAGACGGGTCGACGAAGTCCATAGGAAGGCGGAAAGAGCAATAGGAAGAACTCAAGAAGTGTGGTAATTTAAATTGAGTCCCATGGAAGAAGGGAAGATATACTTCGTGCACACTGCACAACACACCAAATCTACACAGTAAGGTAAAACCCCAAAATACGAAAGCACGACAAAGTCAAGTCCGGTCCCATCCAAAAGCGATGCAGATAATATAAAAAAGGATGCCTCTACAAGCTGTGAATGAAAAGAAGGAAGAACAAAACCCTCTACAACATATTTATATGCTATATTCAGCCATTTCCTGACTAGCTTTTTCACTCACTATGCAAACTATACATAAAGGCATTTAACAAATGGGAACTAAGTGACTTACAAGATTTCAGAGCAAGTATTTGTTTCGGTGACAGCCCGCATTCAAATCTAGGTAGTGAAAGGAAAAGGATCCAGCCTACATGAAAATCTCCTCCCCAAGCCTATTAAACAAGTTAGTAGTGGAACTCGAGTCCTGCAGTTGCTCAGTCGAACACAATATTTTATGTTGGCATAATTCATAGTTATGCAAAAGGCAGGAGGCCCTTTGAGCAACGGTAAAGAGACACTGGCCTGTAAAAATATACCAGAAAGCAGGTTAAAACAGTAGGTGATTGAGAATCAAGATTATATAGCTCACTAAAATAAAGCAGATAAGTTGGATGAAATCTTTTGAGTCTTCAATTCAGATGCATTATCCGTCTTCATTGAAACATATGACTATATCAGCAATATAAGGTTTTAACTCGATAGGCTTAAACACTGGCTGGATAATACCAAGACATCACTTTCACTAGTCTTTAGAAATTGATCAACGTATGCCAAATTATATAACTGTAATAATAACTGAACTGATATAAATGCTCGTGCAAGCTTTGCAGCATCATGTTCATCAGTCAATTAATTTGCAAATGGATCAGAGTTCTGGTTCACATTCTCCCATATCTGTAATGAGTGAAAACGACGGCTGAGCATAAAAGAAAGAGTTTCTCTTGATTATTCAGCGACGACACTTCAATCAAAACGGCACCATAGTCATAACACAATTTTGTTTTTTCTATAGAATCTTCAACATCATTATATTCAAATTTCTATGCAGACACGGCAGTCAGTCCTGGGTGTCGTGACACGTTGTTAGGTAAGAAGCGCCAAATATTAAATGTCGGAAGGAAGACGTCCATGCATTTTCATTCAAAATCACATCTCACCTCAGGACCTCAAAGTACTACAAGACAAACATCAACGCCCAAGATAGATTTGACAAATAAAAATCAACAAAAGGAAGAAAAACATCCTACCTCTTCATCTTCACTTGTTATGCCTCTTGCTTGATCTCCAATAACTGGGTAAATACACAGTCGCATTATACGGACAACCAAAAAATCTCACGAGATTTTGGCAATCCCTTTCCAAAATCTCCTCACTGTCTACTGCACTTAGATGACTCAAATATGTCTTCCCGACGTATATGTAACTAAGCTGCTGCCACAAGAGCACACTCAAACCAATACCCACTGAAACACTAGCAATGAACAGGTAAATGAGAATAAGCCCTCTCACAGGTAAAAACACAGCCGACCTCAAGAAAGAGAGGAATTTCTCTCTCAAAACCCCAAACATCAGCTCTGAAGTAATGAACCCATTGAATTTGCTGGCGAGCCCACGGTCAAGAGGCGGCCAGATTTGGAGAGCGGAGAATGAGGTCATGATGGCGACATAAATTGTGCCGATGACCGTGGATATGAGGAAGAGGATAAAAACCCGATGATTTGCTGAGCCCACGCAGTTCCCTATCTGCATTGAGTTTGAAGAAATTGATGGTTATATTTGTCAATCGAGTTTTTCATACAGTGAAGGGATAATTACATAAACTATCATTGAGGCAAGGGAAATGTGTTTGTTATTATATTTCTATAGAAACAAAAGCCCGGAAGTTCCCAAAAACATCTTTGATGTTATGTTCTTCTTACTTCTACACTTGCCATCAGTGGGGCTCATGCCAATCCTTAGAGTTCACCAAAAGTTTGCTAGGATTACATCATTATTAGAAATTACCCCGCACTTTAAATACTACAAATATCCTAACAAAAAGTTAGGCCATCTGTAATAGTCTGAACAGCCAGGGTGTAACTAAAATATTGGATGTATCAGCAAACTCCATCTGGCCACAACTAACCGTTGGGACAAAATCTGAGAGAGCTAAACCTCAAGGGAGATTCTGTATCTTCAAGGGCTACTTTATTTATTTATTTTTTTAAATCCAGACGAAACATCAATGTAGTGTTTGTAATTATCCCCAAATCAAATAAAACAACTGCTGTCTCAGCAGATAACGTGTTCAGGACTTACGAAAGGGCAGTGATGATCCATGTCCAATACGCACACCCCACATGAACGGCAGTGGTGGGACCTGGGAGATTTTGGTTTTGAGCAATAGTGGCAGAAAGTAAAGTTCTCGAGCCCACCTTTCCCCACTGTGGGATAGCTACCCCACAGTATCAGTGGTGGCAGACCCGCAGGTTGAAATGCCGCAAGGCAAAATAAAGATAATGTACATAAAGACAGTGTTACTGCTATTGTGGCGTGGAAAACACCATTGAGGTAACTAATAGAGAATACTACAGGGTACACAGCCCAAATAGCAGTACCTGCATAAAGAATATGACATAATATAAGAAACATCAAATCAAGATCAGTGTATGACTGGTATAGTTCTTTCTGACAAATTTAGAGAAATCAAGTCTGACAAATTTAGCACCGACTGTCAAGAATGTTTACGGATACACGAACTAGGTCTTTCTTCTGATAAACTCATCCTTCCTAGCTAACATCATAAAACTTCGAAACTGCAACACATGGCAAAAATTTATTCTTTTATATATGCATTCCAGTTAACAACAAATGAAATAAAATTTTCAAATAAAATCAACATCTTCGATGCTTAAATAGAAGAAGTGATACAATATCATCAGTTTAGAGATAAATAAATGGGAAAGACCGTGTAATGAGTGCTGAAACAGCAGATACGAAAATTTAAAGTATGAGCATGTTAATTTGCAAAAAAAATTCTTATTTCCATCAAAAAGAGAAAACAAAAAATGTTGGGGGGGTCAAATATTATGTAAGAGAGACTTCAATTGTCCCTCCAGGAAAAGCAAAACATAACATGTCAAAGATCCATGGCAATGGAAAACTACTCTGCATGTTTATCTTTGAGCTATCAATAGGTTTAACAAGTACCAATTGAGCTTGGAGTAAACAAGAATGAAGTGAACAAAACATACAAAGTCACACATGGAAAATCAGTGTTGTGCAAGCAAGAGAGTTCAGCAACAATAATCAGCTATGTGTGCTTACATATGAAGAAGAGCATAAATAGAAGCACTATGCAAACAAAACACCGATCACGCAATTTTCTGAAAGGGATGTATTTGTCATCACTTTTGACCACATTTTGCTTTGTTATTGCTCCACACCATCCACATTTAAAGATAGATGCATAAGGAGAAACAAGTACGCGAAGCCCGCAACCCCAACAACTTGTTTCAAGATCCTCACTAACAGGTGCCCATTGATTATCTTCCTGCACTTTTAGCAAGAAAGAATAAGCAAACAAGAATATATGTTCTTTATAAGCAAGCTTCAATCACTACATGTGTTTCCATAGGGCAGAAAACAAATAGTCACAATATTTTTTCATAAAACCCAGTTAAAAGAAGAGCAGAAAAAAGAGATAAGGAATGCTTTAAACCACCACAAAGTAGTTTACAACCTAAAAACACCCTTCATCCATAAAATCAATCTCTCCTAAGTACTCAAAGGTGACACTAAATTGACACGAAAAATGATTAAAACATGTGTATTGTCTGCCTAAACTTGTTTACTGAAAACACACACACACACAAGCTTTAGGGTAACGATAGACGCATAAAACCCTCTACCAGATAAGATACTGAATTGTTTAGCCTCAGAATTAATTCTCAATTTTTTTTTTTTCCCAATACAAGCCCAAAATTTCCATAGCTTGCAGCTAGGGAGCGTAAAGTTACTTAACATCAAAACCCAGGTATTCACTTTTATTAACTCAACTTGCGTGCAAAATCGAATCCATAAGTCATTGCAAGGTCAATCCAAAACCATAAACAGAGTAAACCAGTGCCAAAGTAAGAATATATAGAAAGCTAAAAGAAGGTAATTAAAGAGGATTTAAGGAGCAGTAGCATTGAATCTTTCAGATTAAGCATTGAACTAAATAACCTAAAACGATCTCGTCAATTACGACTCGATCGAACACAATAAAGGCTGCATTTATGGTTTATTTGGAAGGTGTGAAAGAAGGTTAGCTTACCCGTTGAACGCCGTCGCAGGTGGCGGAGGTGGGGCTGCCGGAGTTCGCGCGATCCATTGCTTCCTCCCACAAGGCACGACAAAGGTGAGTGTTGAAAATAGAAAGAGAAGAAGACGAATTGAAAATTGATAGTAGTCTGTTATTTACCAAAATAATCGGACTTTAATTTGGTCGTAGGTCAGCGTACTAAATATATGTTCCGTGTGGAACCGTTCGTGTGATATTTTTCAAAATAATCTGACTATTGAAACAATAAATATATATAAAATGCTCATTTTTGTTGATTTTTTTTTTTAATTCAGTTACTTAATTAGTATTATTGGTAGATATCTTGTGCACGTGGACAGATATACGTAAAATATTATAAATAATGTTTGACAATTTATAATTAAAATTGTAGATAACGAACATATTAGATTTTCAAAAATTTGATAATTACGAAAAATAAATTAACGATTTTATTTATTATGAACAATTGTTTATTGACATTACATAATAACAGTTTGATTATTATTATTATTATTATTATTATTATTATTATTATTATTATTATTATTATTATTATTAAAAAATCAATTGTTATAAGCTTCCAAAGTAGTTTGACTATGTTATTAAAACAATGTACTAATTGTTTTTAAAGAAATTTTTTCATGAGATACACAAGAAAAAGATAATATTTATGTAAAATAAATAACTTGAAACAATTGTTTATAATTATGTGATTTATATTTATTGTGAATTATTATTAGTTGGTATTAGCAATAATTATTATATAATATAATAGAAACATACATGATTACACTCAATAAGATGTATTAATGTGAGAAGTAAAAAAATATTAATGAGATGGCTCCCTCTTAGGTCCACAAGCAGCTCCCCTATTTTGTAACCGAAAATGGAGGGAAAAATTTAGAGGTTTTATTAAATAGGTTTTATTAAATGCTACTACCTCATATTTTTTTATATATGTCGTTTTGAGATGTAACTTATTTAGAGTTTTATTAAATAGGTTTTATTGAGATGTAACCGAAAATGGAGGGAAAAATTTAGAGGTTTTATTAAATAAGTTTTATTAAATGCTACTACCACGTTAATTAAGAATATTTTTTATGCCAATAATAACCTTATTTAATGAAGATAGAGATAAATGTTTTGAGAAAAAGTGAAGAGTGAATATAAAAAGACGTAATGTATTTATTGGCTAAATGGGAGTAATTATGTACAAAAATCTAAAACGACATTTATTTGGTAGATGGGTTGGCATTACTGGGCAGGATTGTAATAGTTTGACCTATTAAATATTAAACGTTTGAAAAACTATGTGTGGTAAAAAATAGATGATTGATTTAAATAATATATATATATATATATATATATATTTGACATTGTTAACTTGATATAAACTTTTATGTAAATTATTATAAAGTAATACAAATCAATTATTTTGATGTAACTACATTTATATTAACGAAATTTTAAATTATATATCTCTAAATATATTTGGATTAAACTTTTATACTAAATATAATTGAATAAAAAATTAAAAGAAAGAATGTAAATTAAAAATAAAAAAAAAGAGCAGATGTAAAGTATTTTCTAAATATTGAATTGAAGTTTGCAAATAATAATAATAATAATATAATAAATGTAACATAAATTAGGGGTAGAATATACAAGAATAAGGGGTAGAACGGGTGCAGAAAGCTCAGATGAAGTCCAAGTGAGGTTTCCAAAATCAATTGGTGATAGAAGGAGTAGCTCACTAGATTTATAAGTTAGGCTTATTTTTCCTGTATAAACGATGTGGGACAACTCACAAGTGGTATTATTATCTAATAAAGTCTAAATAATTCCCAACCAAGAAGTAGAAGAAGAAGGAGAATGTAATAAAATGAGACGAAATAAAGAAAATGATCATGTAGTAGATTATAACTATCCTACATTCCTACTAAAAGCAATGTTTTCAAAACTTGGCTTCTCAAACTCTCAATGCAAAAACGTTGGAATAAATCCACTAGACACCAAATACATTTTTAGCTATCCACATTAGATCTAATACGCTAAAACCCGAACAAGGCATGTGCCAAATATGATATTTGTTTCACTTTGTCACAAATGATTTCGTACACACAATGGAGATATAAAATTGTACTCCCTCCTATTTTTTTTTTTAAATGTCATTCTAGCTTTATTAACTATTTGCTAAATAAATGTCGTTTTAGATCTCTTGTACATATTTGTCCATTATTACTCCCATTTAGCTAATAAATACATTACGTCTTTTCATATCCACTCATCACTTTTTCTCAAAACATTCATCTCTATCTTCATTAAATAAGGTTATTATCGGCAAAAAAAATATTCTTAATTAATGTGTAACTTCTCAAAACGGCATTTATTAAAAATAGGAGATAATAATAGAATATTTAAAGATCATTAGACGTGCAGATCGAAAATGGATTACAGACGTGATTAAGTCTTGGTAATGTCTAAGTCTAAGCTAACTGATGTTCTTCTGAATAAATAAATAATCAGTTATATATGTCGTTGAGATCATCTCCAATCATATACTCGATAAATTCGATGCTACATGTGGGAGCACTGTCCCTACATGCTTTTTCACCCTTGATCTTACACACACCCATGTAGGTATGTGTGTGATTGTGTGCAAATCAGGGTGAAAAAGCATGTGGGGGCAGTCATGTAGGTATGTGTGTGATTGTGTGCAAATCAGGGTGAAAAAGCATGTGGGGGCACTGCCCCACATGTAGCATCGAATGTACCCATATACTCATTAACTTTGACCTACTTAGCATTTAGTAATTAATTATGTGAACTAACATTTTTAACTTGGAGTTGTAACAAATAAAGCTATGTAGCAATTAAAGCCAAGCGCAACATATAACATTGCATTAGTTAATTAATATTTAAGAATAGTTTATGTTATAATTCTTGAAAAAGTTAAACTACATTAATACCATTTTACATTCTATTTATTCCAAGTAGAATCCCTTGCCTTTTTCTATAACAAATTAGGGGAAAAAAACAACCACCACCGGTCCACCACCACCTCCTCTCCAAAATAGCAACAAGTTTTCCCCTCAGTTTTCCCAAGTGTCTCAAAAGTCAAAGGCAGAGATGTAGCAGCAGCAGCAGCATGACTTCAAATTCACAAAGGCAGGGCCATGTAATGGATCAATGGAATCCACTAAGCAATGGGTACACCACCATATAAAACTTGATAAGTAGAATTTCTGCTTTGATTCATACCTATAAAATCAATTATTTCTATGACAAGTATACCAATTGTTCCCTTTCATTCGCCCAAGCCCAACAAAGTCCAGAGATGTACACAGACAAATACCAAATCACTGAGAATCAGAGCTCTCCTCTTCAAAAGCACCACCTTTCGGCCAACCCAACGAGCCCTCCCGCCTGAACTGCTGCACCACCAACACCGATGCCCCAAACTCCGGCAACACCAACGTGTTCCCCAAGGGCCCCAGCTCCCGGCATTCCCCACCGTCCCCCAAACCCACAACCACCTCACTCCCCGGAGTCCTCCCCACAAGAATCAAATTACTCCTCCCGTAGGCCCGCATCACCTCCACCACCCCCGCCATATCACCGACCGCCCGCTCCTCGAGCCCGATCGATCCATCCTTCCTCACCTTCCTCTTGAACTCCGCCAGAAACATTTCGTCATCGTTAAAAATGTCCTCCCTATCCACACTCAGATCCACCCGAACTTCATCCCCCTCGGGGCCCGGGACAGCCACGAAGCGGACGACTCTCAAGCTTATCCCTGGGTGCTCGGCCATGATGGCCCCATACGAGAGGGCCTCCCGGTCGTCGGGCCCGCCAAAGAAGAATACTGTGACTGCATAGTCGACATTGCTGGCCGACACGTGGGAGGTCCCCCCGAGTCCACGGTCGATCAGGATCCCAACCGAGCACGGAGCGTGCTCGAGGACCCGCCGGTTGACGTGCCGCAGCTCGGGCCGGCCCGCCTCCAGCTGCCCGTCAGGCCTTTGGTGCTTGTGGAAGGGGAGAACGATCATGGCGGCCCGCTTCTTGGCAGCGCTGCTGCAGATGTCCTCGTGCATGGTGGGCATGGAAGAGATGGCAGTCGTGGGCCGGACCTTGACGCGGCCCAGGTGCTGGAAGGCCTCGAAGGCCACCACCATCTGGTTTGGGTCAGGGTCGTGGGCCCGTGCCCAGAATGGCATCCCGTTCTTCCGGGCCTTGTGAACCATAAGGATAGCCGACGGCCGCTCGGAAAGCTCGGTCAGGTGCATTGCGTAAACGAGGAGGCTGTCCTTCCTCTGGGTCCCACGCGAGGCCTCAATGAGGTTGATGAGGCTCGGGATGTTGCGTGTGCTGTGGAAGCAGGTCAGGAGCCGGAGCTGAGTGTCCTTCTCTTTCCGCTGTATTGTGCGGTGCTTGTAGTCCGCTCGGGCCATCCGGGCAGGCTTGTATATGGTCATGACAATTGGCGTAGTCATAAACGTCGTGAATAGAGCCATCAGTACCATGATGGCAAAGGTCTGATCATTCAAAACCTAAAGCAAAAAGGAACATACGCGGATAAAAAAGGGTCGGATGAAACACATATATTTATGGAAAATGTTACAAGTACATAATAAATGTACATAAAGATTCTTTATGTACATAACACTCACATGGAGTAGGGTCCACTTGATTTTTTATTTTTGTGGGTCCCACTCAATGTGAGTGTTATGTACACCCCTATGTACAATATTATGTACCTATAGCATTACTCTATATTTAATATAATTAAAATCAAAGTCGTCAAGTTATAACTTGATTTACCCCTCGGTCTCTTCCGATGTTGAGGACGATAAGCTCCACGAGCCCCTTCGTGTTCATAAGGAAGCCTAGTGTGAGAGACTCCCGGAATGGAATCTTGCAGAAAAGGCAAACCACAAGTGTGCCCAAAATCTTCCCAAAACACGCCGTGAGTATAACCAGTACAAGCAGGCCCCATGACTGTGCCCCTTGAATCGTGGCTACATTCGTCTTCAGCCCGCTCGACACAAAGTACAACGGCAGGAACAAACCCGAGACTAGATCCTCGACCTTCTCCACCAGTGCCCCAGCAAAAGGGCCCTCCTTTGGGATGAGCACACCAAGCACAAACGCCCCAAAAAGTGCATGAATACCGATAGCGTCCGTCACAAAGCCCGCCGCCAGCACGGCCGCCAGGGTGGCACATATGTATATCTCATCCACCGGCTCACCCTGCGGGCACCGCCTCGCCATCCACTTAAAAACGGGCGGGGCCACAAACACGCACGCAACCACAAAACCCATCCCGGACAAAAACACCCAAACTGAGACGAACGGGGATCGATCAGTGCCCGACAGGGCTATGGCCAGAGCAAGCAAAATCCAGGCAGCAACGTCGTTAACGGCGGCTGCTGACATGGCAAGGCGGCCGACATCGGTGGTCAGGAGCCGGAGCTCGGCCAGGATGCGGGCCAGGACAGGGAAGGCAGTGATGGAGAGGGCAACACCCATGAAGACAAGGAATGGGCCTTGGCTCACGCCCTCCGAGACGGTAGCCCGAAGGACGAACGAGGTCCCGATCCCGAGGGCGAATGGGAGGGTAATCCCAGCAAGGGCGATGCTCAGGACTTTCCGGCCCGTCTGGCGGAGGGCCTTCGGGTCTAGCTCGAGGCCCACAAAGAAGAGGAAGAAGAGAAGGCCCAAGTTGGCAAGAGTGTCCAGGACAGTCAGGCTCCGGGCAGGGAATATGTCCTGCAGGTACTTCTTGTTGCGACCCAAGGCCGACGGGCCCAATAAAATTCCTCCCTGTCAGTGGCCAATACACAATACGATCGAAGGTCAAATTTCTAAAAATTTGATATCTTAACCAAATGCACTAGTTTTTCACTTAAAATTGGTTTTAAATATTTGTAAACACGTCCTATATAACAGGAAGAAAATAAAGTGATTGTGGTACACAATGGTCGTGCAGCAGTAATTCTACTAATAGAAAATAGGAAACTCACGATTATCTCAGCAATCACGCGCGGTTGCCTGAGTGGCCGTAAAAGATAAGCAAGGCCACGTGTCAAGACGAGTACCAGGCATATCTGCACTATCAGCAATGGGAGTGCAAAGTGCAGAGGATTGTCTCCTTGGAAAACGCCGTTGGAGGCTGCCTTCATGGGCGACGGACACTTAACTGTTGCATTCGAGGCCATTTTGACGCAAAAGCAACACAAAGAACAACCAAAAACAGCTTATTCTGATTCGCAGCCCAATGCCTGAACGTATTAATCAGAATTAAAGGACATGGATTGCATTAGTTAACGCATTCCTCAAACACCCAGAATACTGAAACTATCATATAATAGAACTTTTTTATGTGGAAAAAAATCTGGGACCTCACAAGTTGCCAAAAAAAGAGCTCTTTTTTTTAAATTTACCTGCGGCAAGTGAAAGTGCTTAAGCAGTCGCCCCTTTCGAGCTTTATGCCTCCATCACAAAGAATGGCAACCCTCCATAAACTAATCAAAAGTGAAGGAGCTTCACTAAAAATTTAAGAAAAAGGCATAATTGCAGTATGATATTTAAAACAAGTCGGGAAGAGACAAAAACCAAAACTCAAATAAATCTGTGAATCTAAACAAACTGATCAATACATTATTGTATTACATCATGACAACTGGGCTTTCAATGTAAACTGCAAACTAAGAACACCTTATTTGACGCATCCAATATTTTCAACAAAACGCCTCAATAAATTAAAAATTGGGAAAATGCTAGGTCCCGTACGGAACCATTGCGTCGGGGTTTCTAACCATTAGATCATCATGTAATCGTCAGAGATAATTGATCTAACGGTTACAAACTCCGACGAAATAGTTTTGCAATGGGACCACCGTAGCATCTTCTTAAAAATTGATCACATAATGAATCGGTAGCACGAATGGCAGCGAGTTGACTTTTGCACCAAAATTAAATTCTATAAACCCGCAAAGTTCGAATCAAATCGTGACGAAATTACGACGAGATGTCTGTCGTCTCTCTCTCTCTCTCTATCCATGGATTAAATGACCGGAATGTTCTAGAATCGTCTTCTAATTTACCAGAAATTCCAAACAGCTCCAACCCATATCATCTCGATCACGGCAAAGATATGAACGTACGTTTATTTGTGCGCTTGTGATCGGAACAAACTATGGCGTGAGTGTGTGCTTCTGTGAGTAGAGACAAAAACACATGTACCTTAAAAATAAATCTTCGGAGCTGGGAATTTGTGGAGAGTCCTCTGAAAAAGTCTTAAGAGGAATTTTGTAGCTCCGCAGAATTTGTTATTAATTTGGAATATAAAGATCAGGGACTCTGTTTTTTTTT